CTTTGCCAAAAGAGATGTTATCTTCCTAATTTGGATAGTATACAAATAGACCAGAATTATATTTCAAGACCAATACCAAAGTCATTTGCAAACCTAAACATGACAAAGCACTTGTAAGTTGTACAACATTTTTTACTTTTGCTTTTAGTTTGCACCTTTACTTGGCCCTTTTGTAATGTATGTCTCTTTGAAAATTATATTCCTTTTGCAGTCACATGAACAATGACTCACTTAGTGGGCAAATTCTAACAGAACTTTCTGCTTGGTTCACTTGTCAGTGCATGTACCAATATGTTGGGTGTGAATCCATTCAGATTCTCTAAGTATGGGTTGGAGGTTTAAGGAATGTATTATGACAATCATTTGACATATATTGAACCAGAGATCTTCACTGAGAAGCTCTCTCTCTCTCGCTTTCCATCGTCTCTCCAGACAACTACATATGCTTTGCCTCCTCTCTCTCTAAATTTCTGCCGCTCTCCCTCCTCATTCGCTCTAGTTAGCTCGTTGTGGCTGCTGGCATCTCAAAGAGGCAGCATGCTGAGGAAAATGCAACCCAAGATGACTCAGGATTAGGGCACCGAAATTGGTGATTAACAAACAATTTCTTCGATTTATAATATGTAAATCACCAGAAAAATCCTAACTTTGATTTGAAAATTTAGTTTTCTGAGTAAAACCATAAAAATTCCTACTGAAATTTCGTTCATTTTTTCCTCAGCGTATATGGATTTTTTTATTATAAATCAATAAATAAATTTGTAAAGAAAAAACTATGACAAAATCACATACCAAAATGGACAAAGATTAAATCATCGTAAAAATCATAACTTTGAGTTCCAAATTTTATTTTCCGAGTAAAACAAAAAAAATCCCTGCTGAAATTTGAGTTCATATATGGTTTTAAATTTGTAAATAAAAAAAAATGACAAAATCACGTGCCAAAATGGACAACTATGATAATAACCAAAAACAATATTACTTATTTTCTATTTTTTATTTTCCCCAAGTATTTGAAATTCTATGTTTTTTGAATTTTGAAAGTATTAACTTATAGTCATTTGTTAGTTGCGTTAAGATGTTGAGAATCATATTTGCTTGCACTGTTTATAGTCATTTGTTAGTTGCATTAAGATGTTGAGAATCATATTTGCTTGCACTGTTTATAGCTAGTTTTCTTTGTTTTGTATGTTCCATTTAAATGGAACTTTGAACCTTGAGTCTGGATATGATATGAAAAGTGAAGTGGTTGTACTATGTCATCTTTTGAAGTTTATAGTCGCTTATCATACATATGGTTGGCTCAAATTTTCTGGATTTTGAGAATAAACAATGATTCTCATTTCTTTGCCAGTTTCTACTTTCCAACTGTTTATCAATATATTGGGATTCGAGTTAAGTTGCCATGGTTTTTATTTTTTGAAAGCTTATCAATCGTCATTTATATATGTATGTCATTTAAATGACGAATGATACTATTGTGTTCCTCTTCAAATGGAATTCGGTTTTCTTTTTCTTTTTGATTTTTACTTTTTTAATTTATTTTAGGGATATAAAATTGTTCATTTTTCGTACTTTTTATTGAAAATGCTTGCATTGTTGTCTTTTTTGCCTTTGAACTTGTAATTATGATTCAGTGTATATTAGAAGGCAATTTTTTGTGGGTATTCCTGATATCGTTTTTTTTTGAAGTATGATTATGTTGTCGTATTTATATATTCTCCTACTTGCTTCTCATTGTTGACCATATAAACCGAACATGTATACTATGTGTTTGTCATGGATGCCTCAACATCAGCGTGTCCTTCCTCTCTTGGCGACATTACTAGTTCAAAAAATGGGCATGAGTGTAGTGCTCAAGCTATAGTAGATGAAGCTTATCATGATTCTACATTTGATGAGGATATAGTTGCAATAGATGGAGAAGGCAGTCTTATACTTATAGATGCAGAGGCAGCCCTAGCAAGAGGTGTAAGTATCAAACCCACAGTAGGAATGACATTTATTGACAAAGATGAAGCTTATGATTATTATAATAAGTACACAAAATTGGTAGGGTTTGGTATAAGAAAGGGAAGAACCATTTGAAAACATTGTGGAAAAATTTGTCAGATCATAGAATGTTGTAGGCAAGGTTTTAGTAGTCAGACGTATAGTGGGAGTGAAAATACTTGGCCCTACACAAAATGTGGATGTCAGGTAAAGATCCGCATTAACAAGAATGAGAAGCAGAGATGGGTTATTGCGAAGTTTGTAAAAGAACATAATCATATTTTCACAATGCCCAGCAAGACTAGATTCATTCGATCTCATCGAAAGATACCAAACTCAGTAAAAACGATGATTGACACATTGGAGTCTTTTATGGCTAAGTTAGGGTTATGATGGATTACCTTATCGAAGAGGCTAGTGGGACAGAAAATGTCCCTTTCATTGAGAAAGACCTTGAAAATCATATAACTAGAAAAAGAAAATAACTAAAAGGGAAAGAGGGTACCGTTGTTATGAGTTGGTTGCATGCGAGAAAGGAATTGGACCGTTCAGGTGGGGAGGATGATTAGTCTTATATGGGTTAATTCAAATTCTATATTATCATACTAATTTTTTAGCGATGTGGTAACCTTTGACACCATGTACCAAACGAATAACTTTAGTATGTCTTTTAGCCCAATCATTGGAGTTAATCATCGCACTAACACAATTTTTCTCGGATGTGCTATCATCTTCACTGAGACTACAAAAACTTTCATTTGATTATTTGAGAATTGGCTAGAGGCAATTGGAGGCTACCGACCAGGTACAATTATCACCGATCAGGCTTTAGCTATAACAGCTGCAGTTATGATAATTTTCCTAAATACTAATCGTCACTATTGTAAGTGGCATATCATAGGAAAGTTTAAAACACTTTTAAGTCATGTTGAGCGTGCACACCCATTATTCTTAGAAGTATTCAAGAAGTATATTGCAGCCCACACAGTTGAGCAGTATGAGGCTGATTGGTTAGCTATGACTCAAAAATATGATCTTCAAGAGGAAAGTTGGCTCAAGTGGTTATATGGTTGTCGCACTCAATGGGTTGATGCATACATAGCAGATAGGTTCACGACCGGCATGAAAACCACATAACGAAGTGAAGGTTTCAATCGTCATTTAAAGATGTATGCCACTTCTGGAACATGTTTGACAAAATTCATTAATGCTATTGAAAAGTTGCAAAACAAGAAGTTCATCAAAGAAAAAGAGAAAGTAAATATCTTACATACACACCTGTTTTAAATACCACCTTTCTTATTGAGGAGCATGCAGCAAAGATATACACTCAGAAAGTTTTTGGAAAGTTCCAAGAAAAAGTGGTGAGATCTTCAAATTGCCTTAGCAAATTAATAGAAGGCACTGATGAATTTGCCAAATATAAGGTGGAAGACATTCGTGGTGCGCCTATCCCTCAAATGGTTACATTCATTGAATCAAGGATGAAGTGTATATGCACATGTTAGATCTTTGAGCGTGTTGGAATCCCTTATTCACATATGCTTAAAGTGTTCAACATGAAAATTGTATTAAAGATTCCATCTAACTACATTTTGAGCCGGTGGACATTGGAGGCGAAAAAGGGGGTCAAAGACAAATGTGGTGGTCTTAGTTCGACTTCATCTAAATTTTTGAGGTTTATTCGACATCATGAGCTTCATGACATTGTGAGAACAATTGCAGAACCAGCATTAGAAAGTGATGTTCTATTTGAAAAAGTGAAGTTGGGTTTATGCAAATTAGTTGAAGATGTCAATGCAACAAGAGAGCATTTGTCGAATATTCTTGCACCGTCACCCTCCACTCATTACAGTGTCGCTGAAGATGAAGTTTATGGCTACAATAGATCAGTTGATGCCTCCCCCCTTGTACTTGATCCACTATGCGTACGAACAATTGGACGACCAAAGACTAAAATGAGAAAACCTTCATGGGATAAAGGACAAAAAACTTCTCTGCAAAAAACACAGTTGAAGGAAAAGCCACATACTGGAAGGAAGTGTAAAGTTTACAATAAGAGTGGGCATAACAGGTGTAATTGTCCGGTGAGGGCGAGTGGGATGTAAGTGTTTGTCTACTTTATGTTTTGGACATAATAATCATACTTATCTTTATTTAGTTTTAGTTTTCACTTATCTTTTGCTTTATGTATTAGACTAATAAAACATATTTCTCTTCCAAAGCCACTGAGGACCTCAAATTGAATTGAGGCCATGAAAACGAAAGGGTTGCAATTGCATGGAGGATATGACAAATTGCGGGATTGTATTCGCATGGAGGATATGGCAATTTGCAGGGTTTCATTTGCACATATGCATAAATGATTTTTTGTATTGACTAATTTTTTAAAATTTGGAGAAATGTAAATTCCCCTTTTTGTAATTAACTTTCGAGGTTATGTGAATATTGAATAGTCATATAATTTTGGGGCCATGTAAAGGACCTATTTACGGGGCATGTAAATGACCTATTTATAGGGCCACGTAAAGAACCTAATTTCGGATCATGTTAAGGACCGATTATGGATAGTGGAATTCATTTATAATGAAATGTGGGTTTACTTGGATGTGACTTATTTATGAGGCATGTAAAGTGCTTTTTTGTAAAGGCTTTATTTTTTCATGTGTAACATTTATATATGCAATGTGGGTTTACATAGATAGTGAAATGCATTTATATCCAGCTAATTCTCACTCTATTTGGTACGTTGAGTGCTTGATACATTCATAAAAATTTTATTGCATTGATTATCTTAGGGTGAGTACTAGTATGTTTCTAACTTTCATAGATCTCGGATTTGAATGATCTCTCTTTTTATCTCGTCTCAACCAAATAAATGAGCTTATGTTGTTTCATTGTAGTTGATAACCAGATCTCTCTCTCTCTCTCCTCCTCTCTCTCTCTCTCTCTCTATTATTTTGTGTGTCTAAAAAAAAAAAAGCTGAATAATACCATAAACCAGAGAATTTGATTCATAAAATATTACCATTAATTAAACAATGGCCAATTACAATCATTTACAAACAACTGGAAAGATACAAGGAGGTTAAATACCTCATGAAATAGGAAACAACCATATACAAATGAAGCTTAAAAAAGGTTAACCCAAATGAACCGACTCAACCACCAACAAGTAATTTATTTCTTTTTGCTTCTTGAAGTTTCACTTTTCCATTTGAATGATGTAGAAAAGGCCGTCCTTTTGAGCATGTATTCAAAAGTCGTATTGATCTCTGAGAATAAGATTGAATGCGTGATAAACTTTTCCATGTGACCAAGCACCTTCTTCATGTATTTGTCGACAATAGATAGAAGATCAAAATGTGGCTTATAGTTTCCAAAGAATATTTTTCATACTCCTTGACTACTTAAAGGCGTCATAGTACTTTAAGGCAACTTGCAAAAATTTACATCTTGGGAGACGCTTATCCAACACAAGGAATTTTGTGATGGGACCATCCTCCCCATGTTGGACAATAGCTGGAAATTTGCAATGCAAATGACCAGAGAACCAATATGCCGGTTTCAGTATCTCGAGCAACTTTGCTGCAGGCTTACTTTCCAAATTTTTCTCCCGGATATGAAATTATTAACAGAGAACATGTCTAAATCTACAAAACAAAATCTAAGAAATCTTGCTTCCTAGCGACTTGATTGCAAGGGAGATATTGATATTATTATGTAGGGATTCCCCAAGTTGCAATAATTCTCACATTGTGTTAGCTAAGAGAATGGAAAGGATGAAGAGTTAGATGGTATTTCATCAGAAAATCCATCAGCACTAGTACAGAAGAAAGAATTTCGCCATATTTTGATAAGAAAGAAAATAAACATATTAGATATCCATACCAAAAGAGTTGAAAACATAGTACATTGTATTGTAAAAAGAAAAAATATAATAAAATAGATTATGTCAGATTCCACATGAAGTATTGAAAACTTCGAATGTAATAATAGGTGGAAATACTGTTGTCGAGCTTTCAGGAAATACTTGCCTTGATAGTTCATTATCAAAAGTTCATAGTCACAATAATCTACCATACAAATGAGTGAGCTACATTAGAGAAATTGCTTTCATGAAATAGTTAGAACACAAGCTAAACATGAACATTTATGCCACCAGATCTTCCTCAATGGTTCAATATGCCTTAACTGCTGGAGGATTGAAGGTTAAGAGTGAAAATAAATAAATAAGGGAAGAAATCATAAGAGGAAGATGATCCCAAGAAAGAACATACTATTACATTCAAGGCATATACTGTTTGCCCAAGAACCCCACTGTTCGATACATTTTGTATTGATACTGCCAAGGTCCTTTGGCAATAAATTTTTCAATCTTAGTTTCATGTCTACTAAGCAGATTTCTAAGAAATTTTGCCTCTTCTAGACCTCAGAAAACTGGCTTTGAGATCCTCCAAGAATTGCTGAATTTTAGATGTAAAAATCTTATTTTTTACTATTTTTCCATAGAGTCGAGAATTAAAAGCCCCTACATCTTGAGAGATTGGCTATTATATCACGAACATTCCAACATGTGTCATTCAAGTTGGGAAAGGATTAATTAGACACATTTCTCATGCAATGCAATTGAGTTCCTTGCGTCAAAAGATGCTCATTAATTGAGTTTTCACATTTTTACCATGCATATTTGATAGAACCTTGGATAATCATCCTAAGAGTACGATTCTCAAATATATTCCTACATCTCAAGGGCATCTGTTCTGGACATACAAGTTGTTGATGATTGCATATGAGGTTCAAATGAAGTGCATACTAGAGCAATATGTAGTGTTCTATTGTAAAATCTACAGCATTCGAATTCATTCGACAAATGGAACCATCTACCCATCAGAAAATTTCACATGACAAATGCTCGTGCATTCTAGTTATCGTTAGGCGGTATAAGAACTTCAATAAGTGACCAATTGAGATCCATATTTTGTAAAATCGCCAAAAAAATCAGTTATAAGATTTGAAATATTCAAACAAGTGCTCTTGAAGATGAAAAGTGCATTGCAAAATAATTATGTTTATCCCGCTCAAAGATTTGAAATAACAGTCTTATCAATTCTCCAACGCCAAACCCACTCAAAGAAAAACCGTGTACCTAGAGAACCAACTTTACTTTGGGCTTGGACAAATCAAATATATTCGCTTATCTGTTTCATGGAAAATCTGTGGAAGAATTATGTTGTCTGTAACTAAAAGAGTGAAATCCATGTGTATCTGTAATATTAGCTTCAACCCACATGAAATTTATATCTCAACTATAGTGACTTGCACAAATCAATAGAAAATTTTGATTTTTAGATGGGTTGTCCTTCAATGACCTTGGTTTATTTGACTCTCTTACATTGCAAGTGCAATTGCGTTCAAACTTCAAGTTTCTGTTCTCTGTGGTAATCAAATAGGATCCCATTAGGTTTAGGCATATGCATGGATTCTCATCCATATGAAAAGCACACAAAATATGTGCAGACATTAATGTTTTCAATAATGTAGGATCCAACTGTCAAGTCAATCTGAAACTGCTCAATGATAAAAGGATCAGGTGTTTCAAGTTTCTTGAGCAAGATGGTCCATACAGGTTGTGTGAACCTTCGGCACACGTTTGACTGCTTCAACTGACTTTGCCCCCCAAACTTCTCTATTTGTAGAAGTTTGTTGAAGAAGCACTAATGTTGGACCGCACCTATGTTAGTGTTAGGGTGAGGTTTTGGGTTTGTCTATTGGCTCTGATGCCATAGTCACTTCAGGAAATTGGATTGCGAAACTTTATTTATTCAAGGAATGAGTTAATCGATCTTTGTATGTAATTAACTCATGCACAAGGACCAATACCCGTCATTGGTCTACGTATAGAAAATAAAAGATTCAATTACCATCTTAACATCTGATGTAGGCATCTATGTTCTAATCTTAGTACCAAGCCTATGTTCCTTTATAGACTCGCATATTAATTGGTAGACTTTATTTCATATTTTCAGCCACTGTTGCTCTTGGGTCTTTAGAAAGTAAACAATACAATCTGCTGAATTATGAGGTAATACAACATAAGCAAATACTCTCCTATGAATAGCTATAATGTAAATTGTTAATTTGTTTTTATAATCATGTGCAGCGCACTAAATATACCTCAGGTGTAAGTACAAATTACCTCTCTCTCAAAAAAAACATTTCCGTCGAATAAGCTCCTTACAGTTCCCGTGGTTAGTGATGCCAAGAGGCCAATCATGTAAAATAAATATATCAATTGTCTCCTAAATTTGCATGAGCTTATAAACATCATACTGACGCACATGATATATAGACCGAATGTCATTGCTATTATAAGGAGTCCTCTCATAATAGCCTGCTCATTTGACAATATACCAGGTTACTTCAAGGGAAATACATGTTGAAACAACCACACAGCCCCCAATGGAATTTTAAGGAAATCAAAAGCCAATTAAAGCACCATACACAGCCCCCAATGGAATTTTAAGGAAATCAAAAGCCAATTAAAGCACCATACTGCTCATAATCAAAACAACTCTCAGCGAACATGATGGAACAAATATTGAGCAGAAGAGGAGCTAACCTTACTACTACAAGAAAAATAATAGATGGTGCAGAGTATTGCAAAATGATCAGTCAAAAAAGACCAAAAAAGCAAGGAGGGAAAAATGAACTGAAATTTCAGCATGAATTTTATGGTTTTACTCAGAAAACTCAATTTCCAAATCAAAATTAGGATTTTTCTAGTGATTTACAGACTATAAATCGAAGAAATTGTTTGTTACTCACCGATTTCAGTGCCCTAATCCTGATTCGTCTTGAGTTGGGTTTTTCTCCGCATGCTGCCTCCTTGAGATGCCAACATCCAAAACAAGCTTACTAGAGCGAATGAGGAGGTAGTGTGGCTGAAATTTAGAGAGAGAGGATGTAGAGCATTTGTAATCCCTCGGAGAAACGATGGCGAGCAAGAGAGAGGGAGCTTCCCAGTGAAGCTCTCTGGTTCGCAGAGCACACAGGAGGAGGGGGTATGGCTGAAATTCCTAGAGCAAATGAGGAAAGAGAGCGGCAAAAATTTAGAGAGAGAGGGCGCAGAGCATTTGTAGTCCCCCCGAAGAGACAATGGCGAGCGAGAGAGAACGAGCTTCTCAGTGAAGATCTCTGCTTCGCAGAGGCAGGAGGAAGGGATTTGGTTGAAATTTATTGAGGTTTCAACCAATGGCACGGGGACTTTAATTCATTTAATAACCAATGGCACAGGGCTCCTATTCATTTAAAGTGAATAAGAGCCCTACGATTTCTTTCATTAATTTCAAAAGACGGTGATTATAAGGAGGCTAAAATACTGTTACTTATCGCCCATAGGATCTCGAAAGACTTTTCCATGTATATATATATATATATATATATATATATAACTTTTTCCAAACTCTTTTTAAGCATTTTTGGAGGTCAACATTACCCTATTTACCCTTAAAGCCTTCTCTAAAATAATGAAAAAAAAACCCACAGCCTTGGACACCCGCACCCCCTAGGCGCCTACCTAAGCAAGCAGTGCTATTGCCCGGAAAGGGGCACCTATACCTAGACGGGCGGCCTAGATTGGCGGCCTAAGGCCTTTGGGTGCCTATGTGTGTAAGCTAAAGCCCTTTGGGTGCCTAGGCGTTGGGTGGCCCATTTTTAAAGCATTCATCTAAGTGCACAAATTATCACAATATCCCCAAGTCAATATTCCCAGCCCTGAGTTGGATAATTTGAGAAGTTTTGAACAGATTTTAAAGACGTACTTTTATTTATGAAGTGTTCTTTAAAAATACATCCAGCAGTTGATAAAGGGATTTCTAATCCCCTTTAATTCTTAAGATAATTTAAGCTATTTAATGATGAGCAAGTATATTCTAGTCGCTTGGGAGCACAGTATACATTGATTCCCTCTGTCAAAACACTTACATAGGATAGCTTTTTATTTCAAATTTTAGGATCCATCCGATTATGATTAGAAGATTATTTTCAAAGAAAAAATTTTGGATTTTAAATTCTTAAACATCTAGACCAATCCCACCAAAAATTAGATGGCTCCAGTGAGATACCATTTTTTAGGCATATAGTGTTCAAAAGTTCCCAAAATTTGGAATGTAAAAGGCATTCCTAGGGTAAGTTTTGCCTAAAGGAGTAGAAGGATATTATACTCCCAGGAAATACTTTGACTTTAACGACATTTTCTATATTTCTAATATTCTGATTTTTATTCTCATGGGTGCCTCATTTTTATTCCCAGGAAATACTTTTGACTTGAATGACATTTACCCAACTTGAATAAATAAGGGAACTCCCATCATGTGGCAAAGGCCTCTTCCACATGGTTCAAGTAACAAAAACTCCCTGCGTGTTAAAATTCACAACCATGAACAAGGACAATTTAGGCATTTTTCAAAAATAGTTTTTCAAGAGATATTTCAGCAATAAAATTAAGAAATAAAAACCCCAATATCGATTGATATGTTTTTTACTCCCTCACTAATATTGTTAAGGAGGTTTTTACCCTAATGATTTAATTTGGAATTTTAACCCTTTAGGTTATATTTTCCTTATAAACTAAATCGAGGTCTTTAGACCCCTTTATCTGTGAGGACCCAACATAAAAAATAAAGCTAGCGTCATTAGAGCACATCAAAAGTGAAGATCGGCCAAATACAGGAGGCCCACCCGTATTCCAATTGGGCGAAGCCGGTGAGGTTCTCGCCGCCATGCCATTTTCATATCTTAGTTCAACCTTCAAAGGAATGTTCGTGCTGAAGACTTCTACTAAATCCTGGTTCTCCTAGTTTCATTCTACTGCACCAAATCGTGAGCTCGTGAGAAGCAATAACATAAAACAAGAGGGTAGTTGCAACAAGCAAAGCAAAATCCATGAAAGACACATTCAAGACATATACTATGAGGTGCACGCCCAACCCTATGTGTCATACTGTCAATTGGGGTTACAATTGCAAGTAGCTAATTCCAGAGATATACAATAAGCCACCCCCCCAACAGCACACTGTCAGACTGTCAGGTGGGATTACAATTGCAGCAACTATGAACCACAAAAAAGAAATGCAAAATACTTCCTCAAGTAGGGATGAATTTAAATCATTCATGCCACAAAGAATAGGAAAACCATCAAAAAAATTAATAATACAAAGAATATCTTGATCATAAGCCACCGGTTGGAGGATATTCCATTGAGGTACTTGAGTAGTGCCCCTTGTGCTCCCTCCACGTTAGCCAATGTATCATCCATGTTCTCGTCAATCCTGCCAACTCATATCCAATTCATATTTTTCCAGAAGGCATCTTGACCCTAAAATACTTTTACATGAGAGGGTGCATATTTTATGAGAGAGACATCAGAATAGCTGAAAACAGGCTTCAAGATAGGAATGTTTGTGCATGTGGATAACGCATGTTGTAGGTGTACATCTTTAGAGAGAGAGAGAGAGAGAGAACCTGATAGCTAGCTCGCCTTGCTGTGAGACCATGGTGGCCAACTGGGTGAAGATATTGCTCAGCTCCATAATGGTGGACTCCACATTCTGCAGAGCTTCCGCTCTGCTCTGCATATAACTATCTTGTAAAGGAAGCATTTGCTGCTGCTGCTGCTGCTGCTGCTGCTGTCCAAATGTTTGAGTTGGTGTGGGGGGATCCCCATTCCTTTGCCTCCTGGTACATGGATGAAATATAAGGCCATATTTCAGAGACCACCAACAGAGAGGAAATATTCATAGCATGTCATATCACCGTGGAAATAGTTGTAACGATGATGATGACGATGAAGATGATGATGGTGATGTTGAGCCATTTGCCCATGGAGGAAGGGGAGCAGCACTTGAGGAAGGAGAAGGCCTTCCTGCCAAAGGGCGTTGCCGGACAAAGGGGTTCCCCGAATCCTTTGCAGTAGTGGAAGAAAAGAGTTGCCTTCTGTTTTCATGAACCTTCAGGTTCTGAAAAATGCATCGAAAAACTTCAAGCCAAGGTTTCCAAGACAACACAAGCACAGTAATGTTCCATCTAACTACAATTGTTGATCAAAATGGTGGCAATGGCTTTTGCCTAAATTTTACCTCAGTTCTCATGGTTAAAACCTCCTTAAACTCTTTTGTTGCGCTCATCAGGCGGTTCTTCAAATTATCCACAACCGTAGTCGAGTGGTTGGTAGTGTCCTTGGAGATAGACCCACTTTCATTTTGTGAATTGCAAAGAAGTTGCAGGTCCACAACAGCGGAATTTAAAGCAGTAATATCCTGTTTGATAACTGCTGTCAGCTCTTGTATCTCCACAGTGGGATCATCAAAAACTGATGTTCGCTTTGCCACTGCAATGAATGAAATCAAAAGTACTCGTCAAAATGGAACTTGCATGTATGCCACAGTATCAAAATAATTGGAGGGAAACAACTTAATTATCAAAGACAAAATGAACTTGGATGTGTTCGCTAGAAAGAAAAAAAAGATACTTGACTTCGAAAGGAAGTTTGACTCCAGGGTTACAACTTAGCCAAAGAACAATGAATTTGGGAAAATCAAGATGTACTTGTGGAGCATACGAGAGCTATGATAGCACCTATTCAGATAAACAAGAGATTCTGCCTAGCCAAAGGACAAAATGATGCCACTGGTGACCTTCTAGCATCTGGTAGAGCTGAAAGTTCTCTGAAATATAGGGGCCTAGAAGAATTAAGACACACGGAAATGCTATCAGGGGTGAGCCATACAGCTAGGGTGTACGTAGAATGAGAACCCAGTTTAAGAAGGATATACGAATGTGATTCAAAAGGCATTGCTTTAAAATGCGGCCGCATAATGCCTTGTGCAGCCACATGCCGTTATGAGGCCCGGAGCGCATCACTCCAAGTGTGCTCCAGGTCGCATATGCAGAGAAATGTGATGCGTGTATATGCAAGAGCACACCCCACATATGCAGGCGCATTGCATCACGAGTGATATGCCAGCATATGTGGCCCACGCTCATGCACGGAAAATAAGCCCACGAGCATGGGCAAAATTGTCTTCTTTGCACCCAAAGAAGAGGAAAGAGGAGGGAGGGAGGGACGAGGGGGGGGGTTTGTTTGTTAGTGGGGATGCAACGGTGGTGGTGATGATGCCTAAAAATCCTCAGCTTCAGATGTGGGAGATGCGCATTCATATGAAGAATCATCATATGATTTGTCTAATTGAGAGTTGAGACTTGAGAGTCAATTATCTTTTGTTTTTTCTGTCATAAACTATTAGTCATTGCCTCTTTGAAGTTCAAGCTTTAAAGTTCATAATTTTTTATGCTTACATAGAGTTAGAAATTTTGGATTTTTTACATTAGATGAAATAGAGTTCTTTGTTTTACATGTTAATTATATTGGACATTTAAATTATTAAAGATTAGAAGTTACAACAATTACTCTATTACTCTTTATCAGGCTATCAGGGGACTCAAAAGTCACAGACAGCTAATATATTATAAATTAAAATACCATCACATAAATCACATTTATATTTTTCTTTCTATGCATTATTATATGTTTTAGATTTTTTTTAATATATTGACCACATTGGAGGCGAAGCGCCCAAATCTAAACCACATCGCTGCGTCGAACCCCTGACCACATCTAGTCTACATCAGGCATTTTAAAACATTGTAAAACAGGTAGTTGCAAACTGATAGCAGCTAGATGGAACAAATGAAAAAGGAAACAACAGAAAAAAAAAAAAAGAAGAAGAAAGAACTAAAATGGGTATAAAACCTCATAACAAATGTAGCGTTGACCCGATCAAGTTGCAAACAAAATTCATGAAACATATTCCCCCATCAAATGAGAACAAAGATTTTAAACTTTCATATTCAATCATACTGGAATAGGTTTTTCAAACATTTCAAGTATCCAACTTAGTTGGACAAACTATACATAAACAAGTCATCAATGACCACAATGCATTACGTTTTGGGAAAAGGTTCTGAACAGTGCCACCTAAAAACATATTGATGGCCTCCTCTTAAGGACATCCACCTCCGTCCCTCCCACCTCTCTACCACCGCTACTCCCACCTTGCTCTTCCTCCCAGCCTTCGTCATGGAGCTTCTCAGCCCGCCCCTCATCCCAACCCTGCCCCCCCCAATCCTTCCTATCTGCTCACCCTTACCCACCATCTCCGCCTCCTCTCATATGTACAATCTAATTACAAGGAAACCCTTTTCTAAATGGGAAAGAAGTTCCAGATTACTGAAAATAATTCATAATGATTTTTGCGATCTGAGAGACATACAGACCCGTGGTGGAAATAAATAGTTTCACTTTTATATATTATTTCTCAATGTACACCTATGTTTATTTGATCAACAAAACTTTAAGGCTTACAAAACTGAAGTTGAAAACCAATTAAATATTAAAATTAAGATTTTCATAAGTGATGGAGGTGTTCAATATTGCTTCATTGGCTTTACTAAATATTGTGAAGATAATGGAATTATTCACCAAATTACCTCACCCTACACCCCACAAAATGATTTAGTTAAAAGGAAAACCGCACACTGGTGGCTATGGCAAATTCCATACTCATCAATTCAAACCTCCTTGCAAATGGCCAGCCCACATGAGTCTACTTTCCCTCATCTTATCACCTATTGGAATCACCCCTAAGTTTTTAGGCACCCATCATATATTGACTATTAACAAATTTTAAATAACAAAATTTTTCAAATAATGTTTAGAAAATTTCATGCATTCCATAAAATTTTGGCATCATTATACCATCTGACTCATTAAAGCGTGTCAAAAAACTTAGCATGCGACTTGTTAAAGCTTGCATGGGAATTCGTGATTGTGTGTACAAAATATACAAAATTACAAATATACTTCAAAATGAAACTTCATTTTTAATGCCCTATGTTCAAATTCGTTGGAATCGAACCCAATTCTCTGATTCTCACTATCTCATTGCACTCATTTGAGGATTTACTCTCTCTCTCACGCTCACCACACATTTATTTCTTTAGCATATTATTCAGATGACATTGATGCAGTAAAAAAAGTGAGTACAGTTAACATGTGAAAGAAAATAAAGTAATACTTATTTATTCAGTCAAAAAACATAATAGAGCTTTAAACTATGTTTACACAAGTCCAACAATGTGCTTTATACATTACAACTTACAAACATGTAATAATGTGCTTTAATGTTTAAAGTAACATTACAAGCATAAGTTTTATGGGGGAGAGAGAGATATTTGATTTTGTAACCTATATTCCAAATATCTGTGATTGATATTCCTAAAAATTGGAAGTGAGGCTCATATTGGTTGAATCACGGGCGTATGCACCTATGAATCGCAAAATGTGGTGAGGTGGAATCAGATTCTAAAGACATCGGAACGAGATTCAAAAAATGCGTAATCAGATTCTAAAGACATCGGAACGAGATTCAAAAAATGCGTAATCATAATTCCTAACTTCCAGGAATTGGGATCTATGGTGACTCCTTCATGGAAATGCAGAATCACGATTCTGAACTAGAATCAATAGCTAGGGTGGACGTCTGGACGATTCCAGTAACTACAGTTTGACCTTATTGCACGCTAATATTTTACAATAAATTGTTTCGTACCATACTAGGATCTTCCGGCTAAGGTTACACTCCCGCTCCTAGAAAGTGGTTCATGATTTGGGAATGGGAACATGTTCCAAAGTGTTTCCATACTCTTCGGAACATGTTCCCTATTTTCTCGGGAACTCTTTCTGCTAATGTTGTTAAGGAAGAGCACCCCTCTTCATTGGAATTCACCATTGGGTACATTTAGGATGCACCACGAGGTATAGTTTGGATACGAAGATAGGAAACATTTTAGTTTTAGCCCAAATAGGAAAGAGAATTAAAGTGTCGAAATCCTTCAAAAATTTATTAAGTTCGTGCCCCAAATTATGTTTTTTACCAATCATATTTTCTCAGACTTCATATCAACAGCTTGTTCGAAGGAACCAAGTCGAGTAACGTAGCAGAAATTACTGCAAGATGTTAAATTCTGGCTGTACAAAATAATCCTACATTCTGTAACATGCCCAAACATATGAAGTAGATGGTTATTTTATGATATAATTAATATTTATTTTGATGAATTGACATAATTAGCAATACATTCATTACTTCAGCAAAAGAAGTAGTACATTTGTTTTACGGAGACATCAACCCAGACTAGATACAACCACATGTAACTTGTTTTTTCCACTTGAAAAATTGGCTAAAGATTGGCAGCTCGTATTGATCCATGCTCCAAATTAGGGTAGACATTAGATTGACATCAATGCCATCAAATAATTAACCTGAGGACATTTCACGACAACCAAATACAATAAGGTAGAATGCCACATATTCCTTTTTTTCTTTGGCAAGATTGGCCCTGGTTTTGCTAGTCCTGCTCCATATTATTACTCCAAAAAAGCAATGCCATTAGGTTCCTAGTTAGACTAATTGATACGCTTACTTGTCATACGTATATTTCTCACTCATTGGCTTGAGATAGACACACAGGTTGACAAATTACCACTCATTTCAATGGACAAATCAATTTGAGAGGTTTCTACAGGGATACATGGACATTTGTATATACCAATGTTCAAAAAGACAGATTCGGGCGCCTAGGCGGGCGCCCAGAGATAGGGTGCGTCCCCAAAATTAAACCCCCCCCCCCCACAACCCTAGATTAAAGACCTAAGTCACTAACTAGTACTTTACAATAAGACTTCAATGAATAACTGAATATATAAGACATTTTAAGACCTTAGTTTCACTTTCACATGACACATCTCCCTTTAAGACATAACATAATCAATTATTTATCAAATAAACTAAAACAAAAAAAGTAGAATATCAAAATAAGACAAATTGTAAAAATAAAGAATCAACTATTCATAAAAGAAAAAGATATATGCTCAATTTCATCGTCCAAGTGAGAAAACATTCAATAAATCACCAAAAAAATCAATCTTTGAACTACAAATATGTAAATATATCGTAAAAGAAAAAAAAAAAGTAAAAGAAAAAACACATGATTCATAACATAATATGTTGTAGCAAAATAAAATCAAAACCCTCTTTCAAATATAATAATATTTTAAAAATATCAATATCAAAATCAAATCGATGTTGGTATAAACCTCATCTATTGGGCCGCCAAAAGTTCTCAAAATCAACTACTAGAAGCTCCAAATCCAACCACAAACTATTGCCTCCGTTTTGGGAAGAAATCAAAAAACTAAAAAATTTATCGATCTTTCGATAAATCGCAAAAGAGTGGTTTTTGGGGGGTTTTCTCATCCTAAAGGCCACG